TGATGAAACAATTCAAGAAACCCAAGAAGAATTGGACAAGTGTCCATTACCTGTTGGGTGAGATGTAGATATCCAAGAGGGGTTGGACAGGTGTCCATTACCTGTTGGGTTGTATTTTGATGATGCAATTCAAGAAACCAAAGAATTAGACAAGTGTCCATTGCTTGTTGGGTGGGATGTAGATATCCAAGAGGAGTTGGACAGATGTCCATTACCTGTTGGGTGGTATTCTGATGAAACAATTCAAGAAACCCAAGAAGAATTGGACAAGTGTCCATTACCTGTTGGGTGAGATGTAGATATCCAAGAGGAGTTGGACAGGTGTCCATTACCTGTTGGGTTGTATTTTGATGATGCAATTCAAGAAACCCAAGAATTAGACAAGTGTCCATTGCTTGTTGGGTGGGATGTAGATATCCAAGAGGAGTTGGACAGATGTCCATTACCTGTTGGGTGGTATTCTGATGAAACAATTCAAGAAACCCAAGAAGAATTGGACAAGTGTCCATTACCTGTTGGGTGAGATGTAGATATCCAAGAGGAGTTGGACAGGTGTCCATTACCTGTTGGGTTGTATTTTGATGATGCAATTCAAGAAACCCAAGAATTAGACAAGTGTCCATTGCCTGTTGGGTGGGATGTAGATATCCAAGAGGAGTTGGACAGATGTCCATTACCTGTTGGGTGGTATTCTGATGAAACAATTCAAGAAACCCAAGAAGAATTGGACAAGTGTCCATTACCTGTTGGGTGAGATGTAGATATCCAAGAGGAGTTGGACAGGTGTCCATTACCTGTTGGGTTGTATTTTGATGATGCAATTCAAGAAACCCAAGAATTGGACAAGTGTCCATTGCCTGTTGGGTGGGATGTAGATATCCAAGAGGATTTGGACAGATGTCCATTACCTGTTGGGTGGTTTTCTGATGATACAATTTAAGAAACCCAAGAAGAATTGGACAAGTGTCCATTACCTGTTGGGTGGGATGTAGATATCAAGAGGAGTTGGACATGTGTCCATTACCTGTTGGGTTGTATTTTGATGAGGAGATTCAAGAAACCCAAATAGAATTGGACAATGTACACATGTTCAATTGTTCTTGGGTAGTTTAATCCCTTCGTCAAAATACAACCCAACAGGTATTGGACACCTGTCCAATGCCTGTTGGATACCTTCATTCTGCCCAACATGTAATGGGCATTTGCTTATTATTAATTGGTCATGACTCAAAAAGGTTTCTCCTTAAATACTTATTTTTGTTATTCAAGAAAGGTTGAACAGAGTCTTAGATGTGTTGAGTTGTGTTTGCACAATTCAGTTTTTTTTTTGCACTTAGGTATTCATATATTTTAATATTAGATATTTTGAAATATACAGGTGTATATCCTTATTGCTAAGAACAAATTAGTTAGGTGTTACAATAAAAGAGCTATATCACAGAAATTGACAAAAATATGGGTTCAAAACCAAAGGTTTTCAGTCTTGTCTGAATTTACCAGCAAATATTAAATATATAATAAATTTGGAATGAATAAAAAACAATAAGAAAAAACCCAATAAAATACGGACACGAGGATTAATATCCAATAAGATTTGAACAGTAACTACCCAAATAATGCTCTCTCGTGTGTACACTTTTTTTGTATCCAATAAGCAGTATCCAATAGGACTTGGACTTGATGTACCCAATATATAACCAAATGTGTGTGGGCGGGGCCACAATGGGGAATCCAAGTTTTACATAGAAATATATAGGAAAAATCTTTGAAAATCTTCTTCTCAAGAACTACTGGGCCAGAAAAGCTGAAACTTATGTGGAAGCATTCTGGGGTAATGTAGATTCTAAATTGTAAAAATCATGACCCCCGGGGGTAGGGCGGGGCCACAATGGGAAATCCAAGTTTTACATAGAAATATATAGGAAAAATCTTTGAAAATCTTCTTCTCAAGAACCACTGGGCGAGAAAAGCTGAAACTTATGTGAAAGCATCCTGGGATATTATAGATTCTAAATTGTTTAAATCATGACCCCGGGGGTTGGGCGGAGCCACAATTGGGAATCCAAGTTTTACATAGAAATATATAGAACAAATCTTTAAAAATATTCTTCTCAAGAACTACTGGGCCAGGAAAGCTAAAAATCTTATGGAAGCATCCTGGAGTAGTGTAGATTCTTATTTGTTCAAATCATGACCCCCGGGGGTAGGGCAGGGCCACAGTGGGGAATCCAAGTTTTACATAGAAATATATAGGAAAAATCTTTGAAAATCTTCTTCTCAAGAACCACTGGGCCAGAAAAGCTAAAACTTACGTGGAAGCATCCTGGGGTAAAGTAGATTCTTAATTGTTTAAATCATGACCCCCGGGGGTAGGGCAGGGCCACAATTGGGAATCCAAGTTTTACATAGAATTATATAGGAAAAAACTTTGAAAATCTTCTACTCAAGAAGCACTGGGCCAGAAAAGCTGAAACTTATGTTGAAGCATCCTAGGGCAGTGTAGATTCTAAATTGTAAAAATCATGACCCACGGGGGTAGGGCGGGGCCACAATGGGAATCCAAGTTTTACATGGAATTATACAGGAAAAATCTTTGAAAATCTTTTTCTCAAGAACTACGTGGCCAGAAAAGCTGAAACTTATGTGGAAGCATCCTGGGGTAGTGTAGATTCTAAATTATTCTCATTATGACCCCCAGGGGTAGGGTGGGGCCACAATGGGGAATCAGAGTTTTACAATGTTGAATCAAAGCATCCAATGGTAGTGTAGATTTCAAATTGTTTAAGTTGTGATCAGTTGGGTAGGGTGGGGTCACAATATGTATTACAAGGGGGAAATCTGGTTAAGAACAGAATGGTCAAAGCTTCTCAGGTGAGCGATGTGGCCCATGGGCCTCTTGTTTTATTTTTTTGCAGAAACTTAACCCAAAACCCCCTACTTTTTCTCAACTCTTATGCGTTATTTTATTGGAGGTCACACTCATCAAATGAAAATGATATCCAACCACAAACCTTGTGGAGATTTTTAAATGTGTCAATGTTTTAGACACTTTTTTGATATATTGCGTTCTCAATATTCATGCAAAAATATTTTATCACATCACAAGTGTTAATATCAATATAATATTAAATGGCAGATATTATGTCTACTACATTAGCCAGGATTATTCGTGAGAAATTATCATCTCTCGATCTATAAGTCAACGTGATACCATTCTCACTCCCATACACAAAGAGATTATATATAAAAATCATTTTTTTATAAATTTTTACACATGCATCTTGATTTTTGCCACCAAGTTCTTCAAACATTACTTTTATCTCATATAGTTATGCGTAGTCTTCACACCATTTGTTGCTCTGGCATGCATTAATATACCGTATAAGTGGAAATTTTAGTGAGATGCAAATTTAGCAATTTGTCCTTAAAAACTGGTATTTTATTTTTAGCGAGATGTAATTTAAGCGATTTTAAAATGTTCATTAAAGAACTTATTACAAATAAATTTTTAGCAATATGTAATTTTAGCAATCTCAGCACCTTCGCTAATAATGCCAAAATTAAATCCTCGCTAAAATTTCTACTTATACGATAGCATTTGGTATCACCTACTTCCATTCTAGACCAAAACAACTTACACTATAAACTATTTAATCAGTCAAGGCCATCATGGAAACAAGTAATTATTTAAAGCAATATGAGCTGCAATTTTGAAAATTTTATTTTGCTGTCAAGGTGTGTTATTATGATAAATTTGTATGTAACGTAAACCTTTATGATCAATTAGACTAAAATAAAGCAGAAGAAAGACTTCTATATACAATCCAATATACAATTTTATATAAGAAATCCTTATTGTACAGGATGACAGTAAGTAATTTTGATTCAATCAGTATAAATAGTTCTTCCATCGCAAATATGAACAACAGAAGTTTAACATTTTTTCGGTCATTGAAATAATTATTTACAATTTTGCAACAAAAAATTCCGACATCAAAGTTGAAGCTCATATTGCTTTAAATAATTTGTTTAAGTTATTAAATGTCATTATTTTAGGTTATCTTTCCCAGATTATGCTTTTCTTCAGTAACCTATTCCAGTTATTGATACTTTACAATTCATTATTGTAAATCTACTGGTATCTGAAAAGCTTTATTCATGATGTACTTGGGCTATTAACTAGATGGAAGCTAGGGGTTCATGACAGTAAAAGTTATCTTTCTTTAAGATTTAACAAGTTGAAATTCAACAAATCATAACTTATTTCAGTTATTTCAACCTTAACCCACCTCACTTTAGAACTCTTGCCCAAAAATCTACAGCTTTTTACCAAAAATTTAAGACAGAGAGATTGTACAGTTATGTCCAAGGATTTTAGGAAAATTAGTCTCACTTTTGGCAAAATTGGTGGAAGTTGTGTAATTGACCTCTGAAATGTTTACGAAATGGAATTATTTTCCCTTAAAAATATCATGATATTTTGATAATTATCATCCTATCTGCCCAGGAGATATAAAATCTGTTGAGTCTATTAAAAGAATTACATATATTTACAACTTTCTCAGCCTTACATCATCTTAAACTCAAAATATTGATGTTTTTTTTGGCAAAATTGATAGGCATTTTAAGTTTTAAGAGTTAACTCAAATGAGTTATTTCTTTGTTTAGTAATAAATAAGTGAAGTAACCTATTTAGAAAAGTTATTTTAAAAAAATAACTTGATTCCATCATGCCCCTGACTGTTAATTTCATGGGTTACTCATTTAAACAGAAGATTTAATGAATCAATATGTCCACAATGTAAATGTTCATGGCCAATTATGGGGATGTAAGTTCATGGGTAATGGGGACCCCTGAAATCTACAAACATTGGTCTCTCTCAAACAATGATGATTCTGCAGAATTGTTGGCACCTTTCAGAACAAGTATTCTGAGTGAGTCCTTGCTCTACCCATTAATATGTCAAGTTTAAGCTTGCAATCTTGGATCACCTTTTTAGAGACAGGTTTAATTGGAATAAAGACACCGGCCAATGAAGATGATCATTTTGACAGAATAAGCCAGGTCAGAGAGGCCATCAGAAGAAAGAGATGTGAGGAGAGAGGACAGGAATATTCCCCACCTGATGAGGTATGTGGAGAGAGAGATAACATGAGAGAGGGGGGATATTTGCCATTAGAGGTATGTGGATAGAGAGAAAAACAAAATAGAGAGAGAGAGAGGAGGCAGGAATATTACCCTCCTGATGAGGTATGTAAATAGAGAGAAAATCAAAATGAGAGAGAGAGAGAGAGTCAGCCTGATGAAGTATCAGGATTGAGAGAAAAACCAAATGAGAGAAAGTCATAGTATAGCCTGATGAGGTATTGTGAATAGAGAGAAAAAACAAATTCTTTATAATGCAGGAGAGAGAGAGAGAGAGAGAGAAAGAGAGAGAGAGACCTGGATTTCCTGATTATGCATAGACTAGAGGGGGAAGGTGGATAAGAATATCCCTATCAGTAAGAATTAATTGGAGAGTAATAGATGGGTAAAGAATAAAATTCATATAATATTCACCACAAAACTCATTTTATTATTACTCTATTCTCAAGCTGTAAAAAGCAATTGATCTAAGTAGCTATGGTTCTCAGCAACACATACCCATAAATTTAACCCCAGTTTTGCTTTTGGGAGTTGTACACCTTCTTATGGTGTGAGGTTTCTAAAAAAAAAAATTGAAGGACTGTGCAAATCTATATGTATGAGGATTGATCCAAAAGTTCGTGGAATTTCTTTAAAAAATTTTATCGTGATTTGATGAAAGCCAACAACAGGCAAATTTATAATATAGAGTCATAATGTAACAATTTCGGAAAATTTCACCACTTTCCAATTATCAATAAGGTCATATGAGCTTTTGCAAAATGGATTGTTGTGAAACCCGGGGGAGACTTCAACATTACATCAAGCTTGATATATGTCACGTCAATTATAGAAGCATCTCACCCTAATGCCCAATTCGAATATGTAATTCTACAAAATGCTGCCCCTTTCTCCTGTTTTTCCCAAGAAAAGCCTGCCGGGGTATCCTCTTGCACCAGCTTATCTTCATTTTTCACTCATATTTCAAAATACTTCCCATATCTTTCCATGTGATGTTTCAATTTCAGTAGCAATGTCAAGAACAGTTCGTCAGCCAACAACGTCCATTAACGCTTTCAATTTCTCTAGGTTACTAGATAAACACTTAAAACAGAGCCCCCAAAAGGTGGTCACACCTTTAATCAATGTCCATGGAAGTTCCATTTTACTTATATTTCTTATGCCACTGGAAAACCAGTAAATGCATTTTTCCCCAGCCTATGTCAATAATATACACGTTTAAGCTAGAGTGATCCCGGGATTTTCAACAAATCTTATGACTTGGCAGAAATTTGACAGTGTCTAACATCTTAAAGATGAACAATAAATCACCAACTAATAACCTAAATATCCAGTAAAATCAGTAAAACTCACACAAAGGTTTGTAAAAGATTAAGCAATCGTAATAATGACATAATTTTCGTTTTATATACCACATAGGTCGGTTTTATACTCATTTCACATATTAAGAATTAAAATGATGATAAACGCTTTAATGTCTCCCCCGCATTTCCAAACAAGCGTTTCTATACCAACTGCCATAGAGTTATACTTTCATAAATATTTAAAATGTTTTTTTTATTTAAAATATTCAACAAGTGTCTATATTCTCATTTTGTAATTTTCAAGCAATTTCACTTAAAAATAAATAAAATATGAAGAAATTCCACAAACTTTTGGATCAACCCTCGTACAAGAGACAAAAAAGAAAGATTAGGACATTACACTTATTCATTGTAAAGTTACATGTAGTGAAAGTGAGGAATAAGGCAATGAAGCCATTATAAGGAAGAATCTCACTGTGGGACATGACGTTTATTCCTTGGGATGAGACCTTATAAATTGAGGTCTTGTGTTGCTGGCACAAAAAAGGTCCTTTGCCGATCAGTGACCCTGTGTGCGGAGAATAGGTATAAAATATCCAGCCTCCCAAGGGCAAGTGACGGCATCTCAATGTGATTGTAAAGTCCTTGAAATGGAGGGTAAACAAACGTACCAACAAACAAATAAAACATTATAAGGAGACTAGAGAGAAATATAGAGAATGCAAGGCAATAATTTATTACCTCCACAGAGCTTAGGTCAGAGAGCTTAAGTAGGATTGATTGTGCAAAGTGAATAGTTAGGTACTATATTATGTAAATCATTTTGGGTTGTTTTTGTCCTTTTACTCTTGCAAATGACATTTGACAAGATTGGATATGCCAATAAACAGTTGTTTAGAAGAGATATAATTACATCTGTTGAAAAAATTCTCCTCATTTTAAATCAAGCCCATATTTAAATTTACTCTTGAAAGAAGAGGGAAGAATAGACAAGAAACAAGATGTGTTTGTGAAACACTATGCGCCCGGCGGCAACAAAGTTCGAAAAAGCTATTTTTAGCCATATAGGTGAAGGTCACAAGGTCAATGACCTTGGTATCATTGGAAAGAACTTTTAAAATTAGTAGAGTGTGCATACAAAATATGAAGTCTCTATCTTTCATGGTTAAAAAGTTACGGCGAAGGTTAAATTTTGCAGAAAAATTATTTTTAGCATATAGGTTGCAGTCAAGGTCACAATGTCATTGACCTTGGTGTCATTTGAAAGAGCTTAATTAGTGGAGTATGCATACTAAATATGAAGTCTCTATCTTTCATGGTTTAAAAGTTATGGCGAAGGTTAATGTTTACAGACAAACAAGCAAACAGACAGACAGGACAAAAACAATATATGCCCCAGATCTATCGATCCGGGCGCATAAAAAGGGGAAATACAATTACACATGAATCTATATACATACAGTATGTTCACTGTTTTAAGAGAGGGTAGGAAGAATTGAATTAATTTTTTAATGCTTCATTTTTTCCCCATTTCTGTAACAAATGTTTTTGTTTGAAGGAAAAGAAAATGAAGGACAAAGAAATGTGGTTAAGACTACAGAAATTACATAATGTGGATGAAAAAACACTACCAAGTTTGGAAGAGGTTAGTTATGTACATGCATCATCATAATGATGTATGATCGGATTTTGCCTTCAACCGTCTAAATAGTTGTATTCATATTGCATTGGCAAATCTTCGCAAAATAAATGAATTTGATTAGAAGCATTAAAGTATTTGATCCATCCCAGTTTTCTGCTGAAAATAAAGTTTGACATCAGTTACTCACAAAAGGACAAAACACAAGTGCATATCCCCTCGAAGTTTTAAACTTGGCTCTTGTGAGGTATGATGTATCTGCCAGTGTGTAAGCCTGATTATTATGCATTTTATAACTTCAGAAAAAAGCCAGAATGAGACATGCGGCCAGTGAGCCTCAGTTTCAGCCGGAGGATCTAGAGGGAGCGTTCACAGAATCCACCACTAACACCACAATGCTTCCGCATTCCCAGAGCTTTACCTGTGGTCTGTATATTTCGGAAATTGAAATGAAAAAACATGCACCTCTTTACCACTTGTTGAATTGTGTAAATCAGCAACACTTTTACGAGGGTTGTGGCTAAACAAGCAAATTTAAAGAACTGTTGTCCCCTGTTTTCGGTGTCTTGATGGTAATACATGAAATCCCACAGTGTTGGAAAACAGGGTGTCAATGTATCACACTCAGATAATATCCCCAAAGAAAGAAAGAGGCAAAGTTAATAAGATGTATATCCAAAATCCTTACAAGCACATATAGTCTGCATTCAGATGTGTTCAAATCAAGTTCTGTGCTTTTGGACAGTATTTAAATAAAGCATCGCAAGAAAAATTTTCCAGTATAAAAGACGTACAATTTTTATAAAGACTTGTAAGCTTCCAAAACACAAGATTTGCTCTATACTCTGATTCAACATTTTGTTCAGTTGTTTCAAATACATTGTTTCCTCTGAACTGAGATGACTTAAAATGAGGTTAAGTTCCTTGTGAATTACAATAATGTACATATGTTAATGATAAGGAATATAGAAGATGGCATCGTTTTAGGTATGGGAGATGATGATGTAGAGAAAGTGATGACGTCACTTATTGCCGAATTTGTGGAGGTGACAAGTTGTGACAACTCAGAAACTGCTCGATACTACATAGACAAATGTCAAATGAACATTGACCAGGCCATTGTTTGTTACTATGATGACATGCCTTAGTTATCTTCTTAGATGAAGAGTTCCAAATTCTCCAAGAAGAATAACCCTTAATTTGTTTTTTGAAATT